CCATTGGTGACCCGCGGCCCGGGTGACGCGAACCACGGAGACCTAGTGCACATGTCGTGCACAATTCGCGCTTCGCGCGCCCGCCCCGCAAGCCTGTAACCTACATGGTCTTCGGCCCACTGTACCCCCCCCCCCCCCCCGGCGACCTGCCTCGAGGGGCCGCCGTGTGGCCGGGCCCGGGGGTAGGCGCGTGAGCCGGATATTTTCCCCGTCTCGAGCCACAGCCCCCCGGGGGCGGGGCAGGCCGATCGGCTCACCTGGGGGCGCGCGAAAGGGGCGGGGGGGGGGAGGGGGGGTATCCGCCTTCCACAAACATAAGCCGCCCATCAGCCAGCACGCGCGCATGTCCCCCACCCTCCCCCTCCCCCCGCGTGCGGGGGAAGGGAGCGAGATCGAGATGCCAACCTGGCGGGCGCTCCGCCGGGAGCTTGGGGATCCGATGGTACCTACACTTAACTGTACGCATTCTGATGGGTCCGGTGCCAGCAGCACCGGAGGAGGCAGCTGATCCGCCCGAGTCACACCCCAAGTAATGGCGTTTCCGCCTGGGCTATTTCTGCCTCCCACCCGCCGGTGTCCCCCCCGCTCCGAGGGGGGCGCATCATCCCTCTTCCGGACCCGATTGGATTGTCTCGCCTCCTGCCATTCCTGTCCTCCCTCCCCCCTCCCTCTTCCCTTCCTCCCTCGCCCCCCCCCTCCCCTTTTGCCTCTGTCCTCTCCCGGAAGCCGTGCCACCATGTCCTTCGGTCAGTTCCTCCGTTATCACTCGACCAACACCCCGCACCTGATCGTGTCCATCTTCCTGTGCACTGTTGGTGCGTTGTCCTGTTTGTGGCCGTGTCCATTCATCTTGCTGTAGTGGGACATCTCTGCATGTGTGTGTGTGTGTGTGTGTGTGTGTGTGTGTGTGTGTGTGTGTGTGTGTGTGTATGTGCATGTGCATGTGCATGTGCATGTGTGGTTTTTTGGTGGTGGTAGTGCCCTTATCGTCGCTGCTGCCTCGCTGTGGCCGTTGTTGCTGGTGTTGCACACGGCCCAGCCCCTTGTTGGACCTTTCCTCTGTGCTCATCCATGGGCGTATGTTACACTCCTCCTGCTTCCTCTGTGTCTGATCCCCGCCTCCCCCCGTCCTCCCCTCCCGCCGCTCCCCCTCCCCGGTTCACGCACATAGGCGCTGCCCTCCCCGTCTTCTCTCGTCCTCTGGTTGAGAAGTACAACTTCCTGCCGCGCCCGCACTACCCCACCAGCTTCTTCGAGTCGGTGGCCGCTGCCCCCCCCATGCCGTATGTCCCTGGCTTTGTTCCTCCTCTTCCTCCTCCCCCTCTTGCTGCTCTTCTTCCTCTTCTTCTCGTCAGTCTTCTTTCTCGCTATCCAGGCGGATACCGCCCCTGCTTCTTCACCTCCCCCCCCCCTCATGGGACTCCATCTGACATCTGGTCGTTCCCTCCCCCGACCCCCCCCCTCTCTTTGCCCTGCGCCGAAAACACCGCCAGGCCCAAGGCCGAGTAAACACGCGTCTGCTCAACCGCCAGTCTGTCTATGCCACCAGTCTGCTTCTTCTCTCACCCAGATTCTCACATCGCGCGCGTCTGCATGGCTGCCTTCCCACCCTCCTAGAGAAGCGGCTTGCTGCGCTTTGGCCCCTCTTTTCCGGGGGAGCCCTTCGCGTCCCCTTTTGTCCTCCAATGCCTCAGAAATAAACACCTCGCCCCGAAAGAGAGCAACCAAGGGAGAGAGCTGGAGCGAGAGAGAGAGAGAGAGAGAGAGAGAGAGAGAGAGAGATACGAAGAGCGGGGGAGACCCTGGGAACAGAGAGCATTGGGTTGCGCCGTGCTTCCGCTCGTTGTGGGGGATGTGTGCAGGCCCCTGCATTTGCCTCTCTCGCCACTCTCAGAGCGCCAGAGTAGGGCCGCAGAGCACACCTGAGGCATGGGGAGCTCGGCGACACACAGCATGAGGGGGGGGGGGGGCAGGGGGGGAGCGAGGTACGCTGGGCGAGCCTCATGCACAGTACACACACACACACACACACACACACGCACACACACGCACCAAGGTGCGGTGAGACGTGGGATACCCGTCCTCCCAGGCGAGAGGGGCCCATCCCACACAGGGTGGGGTCCGGCGCCGAGCCTTGTCGCGGGACCCCGGGGCCTTGTCCCTCTCTCTCTCTCTCTCTCTCTCGCGTCCAGGGCGACCGCCGGGTCCCGGCGCACCGTCAGGCTGGGAGAATCACGTGACGTGGAATTCATCGCGAGGTGTCGGACACCGCCCCCGCCACTTGCCAGTCGGGGGGGGGGGGGGCCGGTCGAGCCGCGGGCGAGGGGTGCATGTTTTTCTGTCCAACTTGTCAGTAGCTAAGTGCTCGGCGCCGATCGGCCCAGGCGCGATCTTGGTCCATTATCCTGGAGCCTGGAGGCAGAGGAAGGGGGTGGGGAGGGGGGAGGCTGACGCACACACACACACACACACACACATTTTGGCTTGCTCGTCGAGGAGGGGAGGGGAATTAATTCTCCACCCTTCGCCGCGCGCTTTCCCGCCATATCTGCATGTCCCCCCTCCCCTACTCTCTCTGCCTTCTCATTGCCCTGCTCTCTGGCAGCCATCCCCGTCGCCCACTCCACTGGCCTGGCGGCGCCCCCCTCCCCCCTCCGCACGTCCCCCCGCTCCCGCCGTCTGCTCCCCTGACATGGCGTCCACTTCGACCGGCCCGGCAGCGGTGGCGACCCCCTCGGGCTACCGCACGCCCGACCCCGCGTCCAGTGCGGCAATCACAGCCGCCAGCAGCAATGTGGCTGATGCCGCGCGCCTGGTCCGGTCCTGGGAGACCGGCCCGCCGCCGCCGACTGACAGCCAGAAGCTCCTGATGCAGCGCCTTCAGGCGATGGTCAGCCGCGCCGGGCCGCCAGACGGCTCATTGCGATTGGTCGTGTCGGCCCCGGTCGAGCGTGAGTTCCTGTCCGGCCTGCCGGAGGACCCGGCCGGGCAGCACCCGGCCCCGGCGGCCTCGGCATCGGAAGGCGACCAGCCGCCAGCCCCCGCCGCCACTCCCACCGGGGGTGTCAGCTCCCCGGCCCGGCTGGCTGCCAGTGTCCGGTCGAGCGAGGCCTTGTTGGCACAGTCCCGCGTGTCGACCCACATGTACGCCATGCCTCTGTCCCCCCTCTGATGCAAAGGCCAGGCCAGTGCCGCGAGGTCCCTTTTCCCCCCGCTGCACGATGCCGCCCTGCGGCCACTCACCAGTTTGTCCCTCGCTCGTGTGCGGTCTCCCACCTGGCTGCCTGTGACCGGCCCCCCATGCGTCTTTGCCCCTTCCCCCCCCCCCCCCCCCCGCCCCCGCCCCTGTGCAGCGCCTATGGCGATTCGCTGCTGATGCACGCCTCCGCGTGTGACACCATTCTGGAACATGGTTCGTGCCGAATGCACACTCGCACACCCTTCCCCCGGGGAGGGGCAGGCATGTTCCTTGCCGCGGATGTGGGTTTCTCCTGGCCTTCAGTCTGCCAGTCGGGCCGTGCACTCACCTGTATGGCATCCAGCCACCGAGGCCCTGGATGCGCTGTTTTCCCTGGACTCCACAAGTCAAGAGGTCCGGACCCGGACGCGCGCGCTACAGGACAGCTGCGATGCGCTGGCCACCAAGCGCGCGTGGTTGGAAAAGTTTGCCACCGCGCTGGACCAGCGCCTGGATGTCTTTGCCCAGCTGGATGTGATCGCCGCGGCGTTGGCTCGACCCCTGGCCGAGGGGGACGACCTGCAACACGAGCTGGCCCTCATCGAGCGTGCTGAGGCCAGTGCGGCCTTCTTCGAGTCTCGGGTGCGTCTGCACGTGCTCGTGCCATGACACCGTCCCCGGGCTGCCCGCTCCTCGGTGGCGGCTTTACTGGTCCATGCTGTGTGGCTTTGCCCTGCTGTACCTGCCTGCCTGCCCTCTTCTCCTTGCTCACCTTCTTCCTCCCCCCCCCCTCCGCTATCATCATGGTTTTTGGGATGACACTGTGAAGCCCTTCTACTTGAATAGCTCGGTGTATGTGCGTCGGGCGCATGGCCTCACGCGACAGGCGCTGGGCCGTCTCCGTGAGCGGGCGGTGCTGCTCATCTCCACCGCACGGCGCGAGGCCCTGGATCGTGTGTACCGCAAGGTGACTTCTGTACGTGCCTCGCATTTGTGGCATGCCCATCGGGGGCAGCCGGCCCGGATGGCTCCCTTCCCACGCTGACCCCCGTGGCAGAACCCGCCGGCTGGCGGGGCATCCGACGCCCCGCACGGCGACCCGGTGACCGAGGTGGAGATCGAGCGGGCAACCTTGTGCGATGCGCCATATCGAAGCGTGGCCCCGGCGGCGCGCGCGCTGCTGGCCTTCCTGGCCCAGCGGTCGACCCCGGAGCGCCAGGCCATGGAAGCCACCCGGTCCCTGGTCCGCCATGACTTCCCGGCCACCACGCAGACGGACTCCACGGCGTTGATCGTGCACAAGGCCGGGCCTTCGGCACCGGGGGCTCTCATGGGAGCCGGACCGGCGGCGAGCGCGGCGGCGGCGGCGGCCGCCGCACGCGGCGTGTCTGCCCGGGCCGAATTGGCGCAGACGGCCGCCGAGACGCTCGGGCATTTGGTGGCCTGCCGGGACAGTCTCCTCGCCGGCCGGCGGACGGTGCTCGAGTCGTATGGCGGCATCTCGCGGTGTCTCGGCGAGCTGGCCAAGCCCAGCAAAGCCACGGTCATGGGCGGCGGCGAGCTCTGGGACGACTGGCTGGCTTCGGACATTCAATGGCCCGGGCATGCGGGGTTCGCCAGTGGCGGGGGGCCCGGCTCGGAGGCGCCGGTTCGGGATGATGGCAGTCTGGCATCCTTCGCCTACCGGGCATGCCACTTCCTGTTGGGTGTGTTGGCCGATGAGGTGCTTCTGTGTTCGGGCTTCTTCACCGACGGCACGTCCCCCTCGGCCGGGAGCGAACCCACCACGCCAGCCGAGAGTCCGGCCTCGGCGCCGGCCCTCAGCCCGCAACTGACTGTGGACGATATTGATGCCTTAAGGTGTGTGTCGATGGCACGGTCTGCCGGCTATTTTCATGTGCCCTACTTCTTCCTCTTTCCTGTTTTCTGTTTCTTTCTTCTTTCCTGTTTCTTTTCTCTTTCCTGTTTTCTGTTTCTTTCCTCTTTCCTGTTTTCTGTTTCTTTCCTCTTTCCTGTTTTCTGTTTCTTTCCTCTTTCCTGTTTTCTATTTCTTTCTTCTTTCCTCTTTCCTGTTTCTTTCTTCTTTCCTCTTTCCTGTTTCTTTCTTCTTTCCTCTTTCCTGTTTCTTTCTTCTTTCCTCTTTCCTCTTTCTTTCCTCTCTCCTCCCCCCTCCTCCCCCCTCCTCCCCCCTCTCCCTCCCCCTCGGTACTTACCTCATGCCGACATCTCACTTCCCCCATGCTGCCCCCGACTCGCTGCCCTGTAGCAACCACCTCGCAATACTGGGCAAGCCCTTCCAGGAGCACATCCGAGCCAAGGCCATCAGCGAGTCGCGGATTGACCGGCTGTGTGCCGTGTCAGCCGGACTGTCCCCACTGCTGGATGACCTCGACGAGCCGGAGTCCATCGGAGACTCGCTGAACACCCTGCCACACCGGGCCGTGAGCCCGGCCTTGGCGGACATCCGCACGCGCATCGCCTTCCGTTCGCAGCAGGCCTCCTCGCGAGCGCTGCTGTACCCGCCCCCCGTACTCGGGTCGCCGGCGGCGGCCGAGGCCCTGGTTCGGCGGATCTGCGCCCAGTCGCCGGCCATCGGGTCGGACGCTTCCAGGTCGCTGGTCGGTCGGCCGCCAGCCACGAGTGCCTCCGAGGCGTCCTTGCAGCCGGGGAATGACGAGCGTGCCTTCCTGATTGAATTCCGCACCGAATGCGGCATCCCTCTCTCGCCGGTGTGGGGCGACCCGGCGCTGCCTGCCGCGTCGACCCTGTACGCCCCATTGCGCGTGGTCATTGATCTTGTGTATCTGCTGCACCAGGGCCGCGTGGGCCGGGATCTCTTCCACTCGCTGGCCGTGGAGCTGGTGGCCAGCATGCGCGGAGCCGTGCACCAGGCGTCCTTGGCTTTGTTGAACGCCAAAACCCCGGTGCGCTCCCTTGCCCTTGTCCCTGGTCTTGTGGGGGTCTTGTTCCATGGCCCGGGCGTGGTTTGTGCTAACTTCCTGTGACGACTGCGTAAAAATCCGCCATTCTCCGTCCCCCCCCCCATCGGGGAAAAATGACACATGCAACCACCACCGTCGTCAAACAACGATCCCTGACTCATTGACGCTGAAACCACGGCCACCTCTGCCCTCGTCACTCCACTCGCACACATTCGCACATACATATTCTCCCTCTCCCTCTCGCTCTCTCTCACGCACACACACACACACACACGATCCCAGACGTGTGATATTGACGCGCCGCTCTTCTATGTTCGGCATCTGGCGTGCATTCGTCAGCTGGTGGTGGTGCACTTCGACATGCAGCCGGTGGCCGGGCTGGATGTGCCGGTGGCCACGACGTCGCCTTTCCTGGCACCGCAGCCCGGCACCCCCGGGCCCTCGGGGCAGGAGTCGTCAAGTGCAGCCCCAGCAGCGAGCTCTCCCGGTCGGGGCGGGCTGCTTGCCGGAGCCAGTGGCTATGCGGCCGGGATGCTCGGGGGCTTCATGCAGCGCGGCATCCAGGTCCTGACGGACACCCTGCCCCCGGTGACTGGTCACCTGCAGAACTCCGGCCCCTTCAGTCGCTTTGCCGAGGTGCCCATCAATCTGGCGGCCGCAGCGGCGGCTGCCCAATCCATCCTGTCCCCGGCGCTGGGAATGCCCGGGGGACGGCCGGCCACGGCAGCGGCCGTCTTGCCGGGGGTCGCCTCGGTGGCCGGGGCCGCCGGCATGGATGCCGACCTGCGCACGGCTCTGGCAGCTTGGCGCACGGCGGTGGCCACACGCACGCTGGCCCCGCTGGCAGCCACCGGGCCATCGGCCTCGGAGGGTGCGTTCCAAAGGCGCTCGCTCTTCATGGCAAGCCTTCCCCCCCCCCCCCCCCCGCTCTCTTCCCCGCCCCTATGTCCTGCCTCGGGTTCGCGCGCTACCCTCGCATATTTCGCCCGGCAGGCGGTCTTCTAACACCCCGGCGCCTGACACGCAGTTGATGATGGCCTGCGCGGGGCCCTGGCCCGTGCCGCGGCCCTCCTGCCGGAGCACCTGCTCCGGCTTCACCAGTTCCTGCTGGGCATCGCTGATGGGGCCGATGTCGATGCCGACCCGGAGGACCTGGACGGCGCGCTACACGGCGAGGGAGGCACCGGGCCCGGGCTCGGGCCGGGTGGGCTTCATACCAATCCGGCCGGGGTGGCGGTCCTGGGCGCCATGGACCAGCACCTGCGGCGGACCTCGCCCGCGTCCAGCCTTTTGCCACAGTGGCCGGCCGGGGTGAGCCCCGCCGAGCGGACCCAGCGCCGACACCTGGCGGTGCAGATCTGCCAAACCGCGCGCGATCTCTGCCTGGTCCGGCTGGGGCCCGGGGGTGGTGCCGGCGGCGCCGAC